TTAAACCGGAAGTACTTTCAATGGATGGTTTTTGTTGTCGATTATACATTTGAACTTTAGTTCTACATGCCTTAATGCAAAACTGTTCAATTTTTAAAAAAAATCCGTGAATATTAAATATCACTTCCGTTGTCGACCGGAAGTGACGGATGCAAAAACAAAAGTCGTTATACACACCTTAGAGAAATGTTCTATCACCTCTGAAAATATCATAATTCTATCTTGAGTCGTTTTTAAGAAGAAGCGTGGACAAAATGATAATTTAAAAAATGAAAATCGGACGAAAAATGCAACCGGAAGTGATTTTCCAAAAAATGAAAAAAATGGTCTGGAGATATTATATTGATGCATCATCCCTGAAAAATCTTTGGAATTCGTCGATTAGTTCCCGAGAAATCGCGTGTACTATGAAAAGGGAATAATAATAATAATAGGAAACAGAAGAAAAACAGTAAGGTCTTCCGAAGGAAGTCGGAAGACCTTAATAATAATCTTAACCATCAGAATCAGTAGAAGGTCTTCCGTTGTGACGGAAGACCTTAATAAGAATAATCTTAACCATCAGAATCAGCACAAATAATCTTAATCAACAGAATCTGTAGAAGGTCTTCAGTTGGAAACGGACGACCTTAATTAGCTAGTAAGTGAACTAAAAAGCTAGTCAGTGATTATCAATTTTGTATTTGCTCAAGTAAATTTGTGCCATATAATAATATAACTTAGTACGTAACAAACATAATAACGTACCATTTTCCATATCATATACTGTATCAGCCATCGACCAATATCAGCCGTTGAACCTATCTCTATATATAACAAGAAAAGTACCTGCACTCCTGATGTCTTCCATGTAAGTTTCATTAGTGACTCTATATAATGGAAATCCAGCTTTACTGGCTTTATGCCAGTTCGGTAAGTGTTCCCAATCATTTTTCACTGTTGATCTTCCTGGGCCTAAATTTTGAAAGAAATCAGTAGAAATTTTTTTTTATAATTATCAAATCTATACAAGTAATAGCTTTTCAAAAAGCTTGCCTGACTAAATCAATCAATATCTATGGAAAGATGTACAATTGACTTTCTCATATGTCATAATCAAATATTACAGATTATCTAAGACATGCCACTGTTTGGTCATTTATTAGTTAGCCCACGGGCTGACTAGTGTGGTTACGTTGGGAAGAAACTGCAAGTGCGCTTGCGTAGATCGGAATTCTGGGGGAAATAGTTAGATGAGTCGTTCTAAAGAAATTCATATTACTCTCTTACCAGAGGGCGCACACACTGTCACGGTAGCTCATTCGGTAGAGCGCTCGCTTCGTGATCTGAAGATCGTTGGTTCGAGCCCCGGCTGCGACTGACCTAAGTCGATAAAAAAAAAGGGGGGGTAGCAACATTTCCTTTGCCATGCGCTCGGCAGTTTGAAGTGAAAGTTGCGGGTCCTTTTGATGAGACCTTAAAAATCGAGGCCGCGTGTCGCGGCAGGCGTTGGCACTAGAAAGATCCCTCATGCTCTATGGCCCTAAGTGCCGAGTGAAAGTCTAATTTGAAGCCTTTCACCGGTGTATGGTGACGTCTCGAATGGGATGTAAAATAACATACAATCAATCAATCTTCATGCACACTCTCTGCTCAGTGACAGACTGATGAGACGGCATTTATTTATAGACTGCTCTGTTCTCCGTCTCTCTCGACGTCGAAGTAAATTGTGAACAGTTTTAACAAGGAAAATTGTCTTGAAGTGTTTAAGACAAAAATGCTTCAATGCTGCTCTAGGACGCAAAGTAAATGGCAGGTACACTTTATAGCTAGAGCAAAACAAGATACTGATAATACCCCCCCCCCCCCCCCCCCGGGAAAAAAATCACTTGTAATGATGGTCTTGCCATATATTATGAATGAGTTTAAAATACAAGTACATCTTTATGTACGGTTTTAAAATCGTTGACAGTATTATTTTTCAATCGATTTCAGGACTTTTCTTCTATAATAACGTGTTTTTTTACTGAAACTTTCACACATATTACAAATACATGTACAGACTTATATGTAGATATATGTACAAAACAGAATCCGAATAGAAACTTATTTTAGTTGAAACTTATTCAAACTCAGTGTAAAAGTTTATTCAGAGAGAGAGAGAGAGAGAGAGAGAGAGAGAGAGAGAGCTCTAACTTTACGTTTTGTCTTGAAATACTCAGTTTCATTTAAGCTCGCTATTGAGAAAGAAAAAGAAAAGAGAGAGAGAGAAAGAAAAACTAGAACAGTGTAGTTTTGAAGGATTCATTTGTAACATATTAAGTGATTGCCAATAAAATCAATAAATTAAAATATAACAACCCATTTCTGCCAGAAAGTGTTATAGTCAGTAAGTTTTTTATCATCTTTTACAGTATATTTCAAAGCTGTAAAATAAGATTCAAATAGATTTAGAAAACCTTGGATAGATGGAAAAGTATTCTGACAACGAACTTTATAAATGTAATGCTTCATTAATATTAACATAGTGTTAAAATATTCTGAGATTTCATTATCATCTTTTTCACCAAAAATAAATGATTTAGCATTTAAATTCAATTCAATGTCTTTTGCTTGACAAAGACTAATATCTTTTTTAAAAAAAATGCTGAACAAACATACAATCCCAGATTAAATGATAAATTGTTTCCTCTTCTTCTTCACAAAAGTACAAAACTTAGTGTCAGCTCTGCCCATTTTATACATGAGACTATTGGTAGTTAGAATATGATGATTAACTCTGTATTGAAACCATTGTAATTTACAATCATGTGTCACGAGGAATGGAAGATTATAAATAGTTCCCCATTGCACATCAGTTATTTCAGAATATCTAGCCCACTTATTTTTACCCGAAGATTTAAAAACCGGTTTAAGTATCATGCATAGGTTTTGATCCTTTCCTCGTAAGAACAAATACTTTGATATAATAAGGAATCATTGGCCTTTGAATTAATCCATTTCTGCATGTGCACATGCATTACATAAACAAGAGGCCCATGGCCCACATCACTCAACTGAGCACTTCGGCTACAGAAAAACAGAAATTTAGTTGGATAAAAATCCAGCCTGGGTCACACATGAATTTGAGTTACATTGAATAGTTTTTATCCATTAAGAGAAAACAAAACAAGATACTGATAACCCCCCCCCCCTGAACAAAAAAACACTTGTAATGATGGTCTTACCATATATTATGAATGAGTTTAAGATACAAGTACATGCATCTTTATGTACGGTTTTAAAATCGTTGACAGTATTTTTTTCAATAGATTTCAGGACTTTTCTTCTATAATAACGTGTTTTTTTTATGAAATTAAAACCAGTACAGATCATGATGTCTTCTTCATTTTGCCGATTCTTTACTTAGAACCTTACAGAAGTGAAGCTCATTCCTATACGGGTACTGGCCTACACTCTTGTCGCTGTATTGTTCCTTACAAAGCATTGAATAATATACCATTGGCTGACTTTCTTAGCTTTTTAAAAGCTAACCTTGTAACGTACGTTATTTTGTAATATTAAAAGAAAAGTGGGAAACAGACTGAATCAAGAAGGAATGTCCCATTTACCAGGTAGAAAGAGTTTGTTTATGATTGAACTAGTCCACTTATGGGATAACCGGGAAACAAAATAGTAAAAATAAGTAGCAAATTCATTGCTTTAGTGTTCCCTTCCCATGTACAATGTTTATTTAAAAACTGAGATATAATTTGCAGTTTATAAAAAAAATCTGAAGCTTAAGAATCAGGCTAAAAGAACAAATTTATTTATTTGCATAGAAGTTATCATACCCATTCAACAGAACAATCCAAGAAAAAGGTGCAAAGATAATTTATATGTGACACTTGGCGCGAAATGATTGTGTCACCCCTTTCGTAGAAGACAAGTGTGATCCAGTAATTTAGAAACGCAGAAAAAATGTTACACGGACATGTCTGTATAAAGAATCGCATAGAATAAACAGGTACATGCAAAAATATTGAGGGAAGTAAATACTTCATTATTTTGCATCAGTAATATGATTCCTCTGCAAACTGTATTTGTTAAAATGCAGGTAACAAATTCTTATGGCTTGCACAAAATCTAGCTATTATAAGTATGATCGCTTAGTTTCGGACCGTGGAAAAATTGATCCTTATACTGCCTTATGAAAGCTCTTGGCGTCAGACAATAATGTAATGTATTTATAGCTGTATGATCCACATATATGTTTTACCCATCGGTATTAAAGTCTACAAACTACTGTTTATCCTTTGCATCTGTTCTTTGTCTTGTGTCAAGTTGTAATTAAAGATATTTATGCTTTCTACTACAAACAAACGCTCATAAATATTCAGTGTAAATATCTTTGACCATTTGCGAAACAAAATGTTTAAGTTATTTGTTTCTTCATTAGGTGATCGTTCAGCACTGATCAGCGCTCTTGTAAACTGGACCATAGATTATGCGATGAATCCTGTCTTATAGGGGAAAAAATCAATTTCATTTTAGGGTTGGGGTATCTTATTTCTCTTTAATTTTATATTATGAAAAATACTATATTCTATCCATCTTACTTTTTTTAAAAAAGATTTTTTTTTGGTTCTTTTTTTTTTTTTTTTGCAGTTAAATGCCTGAACTCTAATGTTAGTAGCAGATAAACAACTTACTTTCCTTAGATTAATTTTAATGATGCTATAAAGCAGATGACACACAAGTTTCTTAAAACATTAGGGGGATCCCATGTTTTCGATTAAATTGATAAAAGTTACTGTGCATGTGCAACATCACTTGTCTTCCTAGATATTGTGGACACAATAGTAATTTCTTAGTTCTCCTTCTTTCTAAAGAAAAATAAACTGGAAATTATAATTATCTTTTGAAAAAAGAGAAACTGTTATACAATAAATACATAAAAGGGATAAATCAACATTTTTTGCAAGCATAATAATCAGACCACAAAACTGTACTTTTATAACAATTCTTTTAACTTACTTAAACATTTAGATTTTTCACACACTGCAATTCCAAATAGAACTTGTTTTCCATTTAAATCACTTTTGAAGAAATCTACGCTAACTTCCACTGTGATTGTGTGTTGTGATGCATTGTGTTCACCAGGTGTAGTTGTTATCAGTTCTATGTTGTTGTCTATTGGAGGTGCTAAAAGTGGAGAAAAAGAATAAGGTTTCATTCTACACTTTAAATTATTCTAGGTTGAAAGTAAATAAGAAGTAGTTTGATATATCTTACGACACAATTAGAAATTTTATCTTCATGTCATTTTCATCCATTAAATGAAGGAAAACTAATAATATCACCTGTCAAATGTACCATTTCCCTTTGGTAGTTATAAGATTTATGTTGTTAAATATGATAGAATAGGAAAGTTTTCATTACATATGCATATTTTTTTAACTGGATATAATTTTCATGTAAAAGCTAGTACCTGGTCTTGCCAACAAATTGAATACAACACATTGGCTTTGCATGATAATTTGTCAGAACAGCTGTTATATATTCCTATGCATAACTCTAATTGCCTATATAATGTAGCTCCATTCTACCACAGGGGTCATAATTTAAAATAAACTTGTGTCTACACTATCTAAGGATGCTTCCATATAAATATGACTAATCATGACTCTGTTGTTCTTGAGAAGAAGATTTTTCCCTATGTATTCCTATATAAAACTTTGATTGCCCACTGTGCCTCTCCCTTTCCCTGCTGAAATATGCTTTCACATTAATATGACTAAACACAGCTTTGCTGTTCTTCAGAAGAAGATTTTTATAGATTTTTCCTACGTATTTTTATCTAAAACTTTGATCCCTCATTGTGACTCCACCCTACCCCCATGGATCACAATCTGAACAAACATGAATTTACACTACCTGAAGATGCTTCCATATTATCTGGTATTTATTTATCTTTTGAAAAGAGAGAAACTTTTACACTGTAAAATGAACAAATTTTCCGGTCTAGAAGAATTTTAAAAGATGCCATTAACTTTTCTCTAATTCATCATTATCATACCATTGTCGAATATGTGGCCCTTCATTTGTACAACCATTAATGGTGTTTTCCCAAGAATACTTTGTGGCAAGTTTACTTGAAATTGGCTTAGTGGTTCTTAAGAAGTAGTCAAAAATGTGAAAAGTTTACAGATGGACAAACAGACGGACGCCAGGCAAAATTTGATTAGAAAAGCATACTTGAGCATTCAGCTCACATGAGTAACAATTCAATGCTTACGATGAAATTCTCTAATATAATAGATTAGAATAAGCTTAATATAGAGAGCACAAGAATACTCACGACCAGCAGGTATGATATAGTCTTGTGAGACATCCTGACCTGCCATACTCTCATTATTTGTCACATACACCTTTAAAACAAGGAAACAAGTCAATATTATTGAGACATTTTGATGAACAGTATAGACATAACTATATACTTTACAATATTATACAACAATAAAAAGAAATTTTAGAGAAAATTGTTGAATAATATCGTGAAATATGAAAAATAAATGAATAAAATTTTGGATACCGCATGTTTGTTTTTCAACATTTTGCCGTGCTCCGTATATCATCATCAGCAGTATCAAAACGGCAATAATTTTATGAGATATTAAATAAAATCAAAAATTTTTACCAAGAATTTATTGGAATTTTTAAGAAATATGTTCCTGTGAAATTTCAATTCTATGTGACGTCTGTAAGAGTAAATAATAGCAGAGTCCGCGTAATTTTTGAACGGCCCTCGTATTTAACGAGGTTGGATCCCGATATTTAAAGTCTTAAGAATTTTTTTATGTTAAGGGGGTCAATATGCTTCTTTTGACGCTACGGTACATTTAATATGACCTTTTTGAAATTGTGTCTATTTCAAAAATCACATCTTCGAAGTTTTCGCCTCAATATTTTTATCCAAATACACCATGGGACAAAATATACTATTATTCCATCTAAAAAAAAAAAAAGGATTTACTTAAATTGCGATAAGGAAAAAGTTTCAAATTGCTCAATTATTTGACCTTTTTGCACTCACAAATTGTAATTATTCTGGCATTAAAAATATAACAAGCAGGAAAATTAATTTTAAGTTTTAAACCTGCTGAATTTAAGCAGATTGATCAAAGTTATCCTATAAATTCAGAAAAGAAAATAAAAAATGGAGGTTTATAAAATAATTTATTAGATATTATTAAAAAAGTGTAAATTTTAAGTTAAAATTGGCTCAGTTTTTTCCTAGACTTTCAGAACATATTGACTATATTTTTCACAGTATGATGATAGAATTCATAAAATTAATTTAACAGATATTTTAGAACCAGTATGAAACATTTCACTGCACAAAATAGCTCTATATGCAATCAGCGTGGAAGAGTCTAAACGTAACCGTACTGTAAATACTTTAAAAGGGAAAAATTGATCATTTTCTTCTAAAGAACCTTCCGCCGCCACAAAATATAGTTCCTGCTTTATTTCTATTTGTATAGAATTTAATCGCAATTTTTTAATTGAATATTGTTTAATTTCTAATGTAGAATCCGACTTTAACGTAGGAACTTAAATATGATGCAGAATTTCAGAAATATAGGTAAAAAAAATCTGCTCAAAAGCTAAGGATTGAACCTCTTTAAGCTAATATTTGTTTATTCATAAGTGCGTTTGTGTTTTGGAGAGGGTGCCTTTTTCACAGAATACGGATATTTTGGAAACATCCTCATTTTTGTTTTACACACCGTCTACTCAGTATTAGTTATACATACATATGCTGAATTTATCAATCATTTTTTTCAAAACTAGTAATTAATGCCGTTTGAGTATTAAACTATCGATTCCCAGGGGCTGCGTGTTTTTTAATTTATTTTGTGGTTCCTTCACAAATATTAGCACTTCGAGTAAGTCTTGCGCCACAGTTAAATTTGAAATGATGGAGAAGCCAGAACCCCAAAATGTGCATTGGCAAAAATATCAAAATTGAAATCTAAATAATTATTGTTAAGTAATACGCTTAACAAATTAACAGCGAAATCTTAAATTGATTATATGATGAAGATTTACCGTTACAGAATACACTTCCTCTGGTTCAACTGTGAAATTTTTTTCAACAAGTTGTGTTGAGAGAGAGACTGGGATTGTTCCTGTGATCTCTGTCTGCAAAAGAAAGAATGTCAAATATTTTAATCTAAGTTGAAGAACGCAGTTAAATCAATTCATTGTTTGCAAACGTAATGGTATGGTCAAAGATAACTAATTCAGTAGGTAAAGCACTTTACTAGTGATGCAGGGATCCCAAGTTCGATCCCCAGTCCAGACATACTTTTTCTCTCTTCCTGTTACACATAATATTTTTAACAATGACAATGAAATTGGGTACCCTATATGCAATATTTTGTAAAAATGACTTAGTTCAGCAGCTGGTATTTTTCTCTATTTTATCAAAAATTAAAGTCCTAGCAATATTCACATCTCTAATGTGTGTACAATTGTTCTGCAAAATAAAGATTCATCTAGAAAGCTGCAGGAGAAGTTATCTGGACAAAAGGGGTACCCTGTATGCAATATTCTGTTATAAAATGACAGTTCAACAGCTGGTATTTTTCTATATTTTATCAAAACTTAAGCTTTCAGGTCATGTGAATTTTCTTTTTTAATATTTCAAATTAATTTACCCCTTTATGACTGATTTTGAAGTGATAGTTTTCTAAGACACCATTCCACTCCTTCAGTGATGGTATGCTCCAAGATACGTATGCTGTTCTGTAGTCTCCAACTTTTATTTTGACAGTCAAGTTTTCCACTTGTCCTGGTGCTATATGTCAAAAAATAATACCAGTATAAGTATCATCACTGAAGTCTTTATCAGTCCTCTTTGCAAAGGAGGATAGTATTTTAAACAAAGAAGTCCATTTAAAATGATTTTTCCCTTCCTATTTATAGCCATGAAAATTTTTCACTCCATATATAAAAAAGTATCTTAATTAATATTTCAGGACCAACATAAAATATTTCACTGCACAAAATAATTCTGTGTGCAGGCTGCATGGAAAAATAGGAATCCAAACTTAACATACTGTAATTACTTCGAAAAATTGATCATTTTCTTCTCAAAAACCTTCCGCCACATAATATGGTTCCTCAATTAATGCTTTTTATCTGGAATTTCATCGTGGGTATTTAATTGAATGCAGTTTAACTTGCATTGTGGAATTTAAATTAAATGCAAGAACTAAAATATGATGCAGAATTCTAGATATAAAGGTCCAGACAAAATCTGCTCAAAGCTCAGGATCAAACCTCTTTAAATCATCACAGATTGGGAATGTTTGTAGATTAAAATTTGATTCCTTATAAAGTTAGTGTGACCTCAATCTAAACCGTGGAGGCATGATCTGAACTTTAATCTGAAAATAAACTCGAATTGCACTACCTGGGGATAATATATCTATCTACTGTTTAAGACCCAGGTGATTCAAAAAGGATAGATTTAAAATGACAATTTGTCTCCTCAGATAACTTCCTCATATTCTGTTATACATTTTTATATAAATTGTTAATCTAAACCACGAAATATAGAATCATTATATTAGCAGTACTATATAACTGAAAGACAAACCTGCTTGTTTTGTTCTGACAATATCTGATAAATCTGATGTTGTATTCCCTTTAATTGTAGCAGCATCTACTTTGAACTTATATGGCCAGTATTCCTCCAGTTCATCTAAGGACACTGACTTCTGGTGAAAACCTAAACTAAGATGTAAAAAAAATAAGTTATTGAAGTAAATTCTGTATTATCTTCAGTTAAAGGCAGAGATTTTAAGCACCGCCTTCAAAAATACCTGGTCTGTGTACCCTTGTCATTCAAGTGCAGTAAGGTACATCATTGGGTGCTAGAACTTGATTGACATTTACTTATTAGTCCCTGTGTATACCCTGTACACCTTGTTTGGCACTAATGGTGACTTTTGATCCTTTGATATTTACCTTATATGGTATAAACAATAGAGAAGCTGTATTACTATGGAATTTTTAGCTTGATAATATATTTAGTATTTGAAATAAATATGATATACATTATGATAATACATATCAAAATTAGGTATAACTTTTTTCAAAGCTCAACAAATACTTTAAATAATAATATTTTTTTAATGGGTGGGGACGCTTTGACACACATTCAATTACAAATTATTAATATTATTGAGATTAAATTTTATTTACAACTTTTTATTTCTAATTTAAAATCATCTCAAAATCCCAACACAGGTAAAGTTTGATTTCTTGGGTATTCTACTGTGTATTAAATCACTTTCTGTGTATAGGGATTGGGAGACAAACGACCACAGGTAGACTGCTAGCCCTCAAGGCATTCACACCTGTACAAAATAAGCCCCTCCCTCACCTGGAATTTACCACCCGATAAAAAATTTCTGCCTTTAGGGACCCTCTGTAGACTGCATGGAAGAATTCTAATTTTATGGGTTTTTTTATAAAGTTTAAGTAATCTGCCCTTAATTTTCTAAAACCAAACAAGGGCAACGCAAAGCGGAGCATCCCCTAGCACATCTATATACCAAGGTAGCATTTGACATCAATCTCGATGCAAATTACGCAACTTCCTTTACCCACACGAGGACAAACTAACAACACACACACACACACACCCTCACACACACAAGCGTGTTACTATATCTATGTACCGTCCACCTCAGTTGCCAAGGGATGATAAGTTAAAAACAAAAGCATTTTTCTCTACTGATAACTTTTTTGAATACTTCTACAATATTGTTGATGAACAGAAACAAACTGTTATAAGCCTAAAATACTGTGGAATCATTTTAATTCATGGGGGTCATTGTTCGTTGGTAATCAAAATTTTATTGGTTCGCAGGGACGTAATTTTGTGGGTAACTTGTATATTCAAATGGTTCCAAAAATATATATATTTACAAAATAATTGTTCTTGGGAAAGTAAATTCGTGTTTAAGGGTGACCCACAAATTCACGAACATTGGTCCCCCATGAACAATGATTCCACAGTATTGCCAACTTTTTTATCAAACATGGAATTATGATTTTCGTTGGACTCAGATTTTGTTCCAGGTACAGGCCTAGGCTGAAAATCATTAAACTGTAAAACGACTGATTAATCAATGTTAAGGATGTCTTACTTTTAAATGACAGAATTATACCCTAATATCTGATTTTATTTTTCTAAAAGGGATGTTGCATTTCTTTTGCGTTTCAGTATAGTTACATGACTGTGTGTTTAATGTGAAAAGACCTTTCTTTGAGTATCAATATTTTTGACCTCATGACCTTGAATTTGTAGTTTGACTACTTTGGGAAAAATTTACCTTGGTTATAATTTCTGAATGGTTGGTGCTAGGGCTTTGAAATTCACATGTGTATTCCTGGTGACAAACCTTTCTTTTGGTATTAAGATTTTGATCTCATGGCCTTATGCAGGGCCTTGATTGCACCTAAGTAGCACCTGAAGCTTTTTATAGGTGCCTAAAATTTTGATAAATGCCAAATTGTTGAGCATTTTTAATTGACTTGGCGATCGTCATATTTCAGAACTTTAAACTTTTCAAAATGTTTTTTTTTCTAAGAGGCAAAAAAATTTAAAGTGGAGATAATCATTTTTAGCAATGAACATGTCTTGTGTTAACTTTGTTATCTTGTTTGTTTTCACAGAGATCGTAGGAACAAAATCTTGCGTCGCATCAGTGCGAACAGAGCTAAATAAGGCTTAATAAGATATTAGCTGCCTAGGTAATTTTTGACTCCAGAAAACTGACAATTGTGAAATGTCGTAAATTGGATGGGTGATGTGGTCAAATGTTTGCCAGTTATATTCACACTCATTAAAGATATCATCTACAAGTTCGTGTTAGGTTTTAATTTTATAGAAGAGCATAAAATGAATATCATTTAAACAATTCTCAAGTAGAAAACTGACTGGTCAGCAAGGGCTCCGCAGAGGTATACAACTTAAAAAATGAGAATTTGACAAAGGAAAAATTTAAAAGGATATTTAAAAAATTATGAAGAATCTGAAATAGCAACTGTATACATCCGAAATGACGAAGGATAATATCTAACTACCTATTAGAAATTAATAATATCCTTGCATTTATCATCTTTGCTGGCCATGGGTTTCTGATTCGCTACTCTTCTCAAATCCTCTTGGCCTGCGGTGCTAAAAAAATTGGGATATTTTTTCTCGAGTTATGATTGGAGTTGATTGATACCGTTCGATCAATCATCATTTGCTTTTTGCAAATTACGATAACTATATCTTGACTCTTTAGTCTCGGGAACGAAAAACACGAGTAAACGATAACATGTCATTCTATAAATAGCTATATTGTCATCCAATTTTAAGTTGATGAGCAAATAATATGATCATGAATCTATATTGGAGATGGAGATTTGCATGCTAAATAGCAAATGAACATTGCTCGATTCCTTCTTGTTAATTATCCTCCAAAAACTTTAATTTTTCAATTCGCTTTTTATTTCTGTTGATGACGCAGTCTGTGTGTGTGGTAAGATTCGAGATCGTGCGACGTAAACAAACCCAACTTTTGACAGCACCATAGGCCAAGGGTTTGTGAGAAGATCGAGTAGCGGACCAATCAGAAACCGTTGGCTAGCGAAGATTTGTATTCATTTAAGGGAGTAAAATATATTATTATTATATAATACTTTAACTGAATGTATTGAAATCAGAATAAAGCAAGCAATTTTTGAAATGACAGCCTTTGGTGAATGCAATCCTAACCCAGGCTTTACCTTCCAAGCAAGCAGCACTTGCAAACATAGGTGTTAATTAATCTTAATCTGACAGATTAAGATATTTACTGGATTTTTTTTACAGCAGACAAGATAATTTATCCCAAAGTATTAATTGTACTACTGTTTCATCCTTTTATTTTGAGTTTGCAATCTTTAATTTTATTCTAAGTTTACAATAAGAACATTTTCAGCAATGATAGAATGGCCGTACCTATTATTTAATAGTTTCCTTGAATTTTTCGTAAGGCATCATCAAAAATTGACATATATATATATATATATATATATATATATATATATATATATATATATATATATATATATATATATATATATATATATATATATATAATCTCTATCTTTTTTAACATTGAAATTCCATGAAATATTTCAATAAAATATTTCGTTTTACAGAAAATAGTATGAACAATATGAAAAATCCAAACTTTTGTGAATGCAAACAATATCCATGATTGACCTTATTTTCAAGTTTAAGTTTAAAAGAGGAACATCTCTAACAGTTATTTCTCTTTGCCTATTCATTCTAACATAAAGTTAGGAATCTACCCCACCATCCCACCTCCAAATCAGATGATATAAAAAAAATTTTAAAAATCAAACCTATAACTATAATAAATCTTACTGCTTATACAAACAACATACCAAACTTGAACTTAATAGGACAATTATAAAAAGTTATTTAAAAAACAGAAAATTTGTGGATGGAAGAATGACAGACGGACAGACAGACAGTCAGAATGATTACAATAGGGCACCCGCAAATCTTTGAGGGGCCCTAATTACTTAGAATCATTTTAAATACTATTCCACGTAAGAATCAAGTAGGGGGCGGCATATGAAGGATTTCCATTTTTTTTAACTTTGCATGCTGGTAGAGTATGCTTAGTAACTTCCTAAAATAAAATATTTTTTTATCAAATCAGTGTCTGGTTTCCATGGCAACAGAAACACTGTTTGCAGCATATTATGGCTGAAATGTCCTCTAAAATTTTGCAAAATTGCCAATATTCAAGTTTAAATAAAAAGAAAATCAGAAAAGAAATCACAATTATATTTATTGCTCATTCAAATAACAGCTCAACTAGTTACTTGTCACAATAAATCAGAATATTTTTATGTCCAGTAAGATGTTTTAGTTTTGAAACGGAGATAATCCAAATTTGCAAAAACTTGAAAATATAAATTTTTTGAGGATTTTCATCTATTAAAAGATATAAAAACCCAACAGCCAAATCAAAAGACTTTGCTATTTTCATAGACATCATACCCTGTAGCTAATAAAAGTATAAAAACATTTTTGTGCAAATTATTATTAATATCCGAAAATTATGGATGAGTTTTTGACGATTTTCAGCTTTTAAAAAATATACGAACCGAACATCCAACTCAAAAGGCCATGCTATTTTCATAGACATCATACCCTATGGTTTATAAAAGAATAAAAAAAAATTGTGTAAATTATTATTAAGATCTGAAAAATATGGATAAGTTTCAAATAAAAATGAGTCGCCCGTGTGGGGCAGTGGTTAGAGCATTTGCTCTAGAGTCGCGGAGAAAGGAGCTGATCCTTGCATCGCGGGTTCGAATCCCACTGTGGGACTGGACACCGGTCCTTCGGATGAGACCGCGTAAACCGAGGTTCCGTGTCGCAGTAGGTGCTGGCACGAAAAAGATCCCTCACTGCTCAATGGCCCTGAGTGCCGAGTATAGGTCAAAATTTGCACTCTCCACCGGCAAGTGGTGGCGTCTCCATATGAGTGAAAAATTCTCGAGAGGGACGTTAAACAACAAAAAAACAAACAAAACAAACAAAAAAGAGCAATTTCACTATTTTCATCGAAGTCCAGAATATACAGCAGATGTGTGCATGTAAAATGAATTTGACATTTCAAAACAATTTTTTTTTATTTGAAATTTCAAATACAGCACAACTGTTTGCTTTTTACAATTAATCAATATAATATTTTGAAATCTAGTGTTCTAATTTATAACATATAATTTATAAATTATGTTCTAATTTAACTGAAAAGGTGAGATAATCCAAAAGTGCTGAAACCTGAAAATATCAAATATCTCAAGCTGTTTTTGAAGTCAGAGAATATTGTACCCTTCAGGTAGATAAAACATTGGCTACTAGATTTTTAGGATAACGAGATAGCTGGCACCTAAAATTTAGAGGTCACTTAGAATTAAGCATATATGACACAAATGTTCACAAAAACATCTTGTTCAATCATTAAAAGACACTTGGAAAGCCTTGTATAAAGATTAATGAGTTGAGCTGGCAAAAAAAAAAAACAAACAAACAAAAACAAAAAAACAAAAAAAAAAAAAAAAACGCGTAACTAACGGCACAAATTATCGAACATAAATTTTTTGCCATCATAATTAAATAAAAATGAACTTTCAAACAAACCGTATGCTTTTAGTTTTGGTTGTCTCCGGTTAAAGTTGGTTCCAGTATCATCAGTTCCTTCATACACATATATAGTGTACGTTGTGTTGCCAGGTGAGGGGGCTGCTACATCCCAAGACAACGTCAGACTCTTCGCCATTATATTAGTTGAACTTATATGTCCAGGTTTTTGTGGAACTGTATAATATTAAGTAAGAGGTAAAAAAGGTTATAATAACAAGAGGTATTTCACAGTCAGTATATGTAAGAGCCAGCCTTAGGGCATTTCATTTTAAATAAATTTTCTCAAAAACTTTGCAAACACATGAAGCCTATATAAATCTGTTCATCTTATTGGACACTTATTTCACAAAATTGACCCCTTTATCTCCTATTAACCAGCTAAATGATGTGTCCTTGTTTTTATTTTAACAATGAAGAAATTATTAAAATAAAAATTTTATTCACAACAAACTAATACTATCTCGTTGAAATTTTTTTAAATAGTATAGAGTTTTTGACTTTGGATATTGTTTTCCAATTCTAATAGATGCATAGAATTTATGGAAGAGTTAAATCATTCATGTAATTGCTTACTTTCTTCATCAGTCTTCACTGTTGCAATATTAAAGCGTCCTTCTCCGTTTCCATTCACTGCAGCCACTTTAACAACATAGTGGGTGTATGGTTTTAGACCTTTTACTTGGTGTACCACAGGCTGGGTTATATCAGGTTTTAGGACGAACTGACGGTCTGCACAGTCAACTAAACTCTTAAAACGTATAACAATTCAGTGATGAAAAAAAAGCATAGCTCATCTCAAATATCATCACCTGCAAATGAAGCAATGAAGTCCTAAACCAAATTAAGCCAAATATAGCATCCAAAAGAACAAATCCCTTTATACCTTATTGGTAGACTATCCATGCAGGTTTTGTTATGTGATAGGATTTACGTATTATTATTTGAAAAAGGCTTGCTCCAAAATTTATCACGTACCAACTCGTCCAGAAAATAATAGTCGGGACAGATTAAAGAAAAAAATCATCCATGTAAGTTTGGAAAGTGTGGTCATTTAAGCCAAGGCTTATTAAAAAAGGAACAAACTTTCTTTTAAAAAATCAATCTGTTCAATCATCCGAAAAATTTGGTTCAGATTTAACTTCTGAAGAAGGGCTGGTACGATGCATCCCTAGATGCATCATCAATGCATTGGACAAGGTCTGTTAATTGCCAAATTCGGCTCCTTGATTCATATAAAAATCAAACAAAAAAATACGACTAAAAGACCTTGAATTAAGCCTAAAAGAGAAAGACAGGATGAAAGTTAGAGCAACAGTTAAGGTTAACTTTTTCGAAAGCCCTTATATAGTTACTCGAAAATGAATTTGTTAGGAAAAATGACCTATTAAATAATCTAGAAAAATTTTATCAGATCTAGGATCTAGATCAAGTCTGGTTGAGTGTATCCCTAGATGCATCATCCATGCAAGTTTTTACACTAAGATTTAGGATTATATAAAGTAACTTGGAAATCAATCTGCATCAAAAATTTTAACCTGGTCACACATTCACAAAAATAAGGATGAATCCAACATCTAAAGCATGTCTGGTATTAAGCGTCCTTAGTTCATCATCCATGCAAGTTTACCATAGGGTTCATAGTTACTTTGTAATGGACCTGCTCCTCAAATTTAACTTTTTACTCATCTGGAAATTGAGGTCGCCCGCCTGGCGCAGTGGTTTGAGCGTCTACTCTAGAGTCGCCGAGTAAAGAGTTGATCCTTACGTGGCGGGTTCGAATCCCACTGTGGGACGTGGAGACTGGTCCTTCGGATGAGACCGTATCAACCGAGGTCCCGTGTCGCAGTAGGTGCTGGCACGAAAAAGATCCCTCACTGCTCAATGGACGTAAGTGCCGAGTATAGGACAAAATTTGCAGCTCTCGGCAAGTGGTGGCGTCTCAATATAAGTGATAAAATCTCTAGAGGGACGTTAAACAACATACAAACAAACAAAAACAGGGCCCAGATCAAGCATCCAAAGAAAATCTGGCAGTTTTCATCCCTAGATGCATCTTCCATGCAACTTTGGTCCTGCTTTGCTTCAATAGTTATTTGGAAATGGACCTGCTCCTTACACTTTAACGGGGTTGCCAACGCTGACATTGATCACAACACCAGGATATAGCATACGCTCATCTTGAGGTTTGCTCTTGAGGTGAGCTTTAAATGACATTCAACTCATGTATGGTATATAACTTTCCTAGATATATCATCCATGCAAGTTTTTTTCCAGATGTGGTTAAGACACCTACTTCAAAACTTTAACTTTGAAAACTATATTTGCTGGGGGGGGGGGGGGAGGGGTGTCATAAGTTCTAAGCTCCTATGATATAATACCATATACATGTAAGCAAAGTTTTAGCAAGGATTCAATATTGGCATTATTAGCGAGGGTTCTGAGATCGTTAAAATTGATTGATTGTGTGTTGTTTTACGTCCCATTCGAAAACTTTGAACTCATATAGAGACGTCACCTTATACCGGTGAAGGGCTTAAAATTTTGACCTTTACTCAGCACTCTGGGCCATTGAGCAGTGAGGGATCTTTATCGTACCAACACCTACCGTGACACGGGGTCTCGGTTTTTAAGGTCTGATCCGAAGGACCAGCAACTTTCACTTCAAAGTGCCGAGCGCATGGCTAAGGAACAGTTGCTACCCATGTTTTATCGACTTAGGTCAGTCGCGGCTGAGATTCGAACTCACGACCTCCCGATCACGTAGCGAACGCTCTTCCGACTGAACGTGAACGGTTGCTACAATTGAATATCGCTAAAAAAAAGCGATAAAAAAATGGATTTGATTAAGTGCTTTCTATATATACAATAAATGAATATATTGAAATGAGTTGAAACTAGATATCATTGAGATGGTGGCCATCTCAAAGGGCCCCGCTTTCAGCAATGAACATAAAAATGTAAGGTAGCTGAAAAGGGTTTATTTTGAAGAGGAACATTTGTGTACTATTAAGGGATGTGTTGTTTGAGTCTAAAGGGCTTCTATGTCATCCTTTTTATAATAAAAAATGGCACGAAAATCACGAGTGCTCCATACCCTCTATCAAAAAACGGCACAAAAATTACGAATGTTGCACATCCTGTATCAAAATATGGAAGGAAAATCACAAATGTTTCGTACCCTAAGTTAATTGGTTAAGTTTGAGGCTGCCTGGACTTAAGGGAAAGAAATTATGCATCACACAAAAATTGAACAGAGAGGCTATTTTGACATTGACCTAGAAACTTTGTTCAAGGTCACTGCACATCCACTGACCAGTGGCACTCTGTGAGTAAAGTATGAGCCACATGACCAAGAGGAGAGGAGATATGCTCCGAACAAGGATTTTTCATATAATTCTGCTATGATCTTAACCTTAGACCTAGAAACATGGTTCAAGGTCACTGCACTTCCTTTACCCAAAGGCACACTGTTGGTGAGGTATGAGCCAGATTGGGCCACGGAGAGAGAAAATATGCTCCAGACAAGAATTTGAACAGAGAGGCTATTTTTGACCTTGACCCTTGACCTAGAAACTTTGTTCAAGGTCACTGCACATCCACTGACCAGTGGCACTCTGTGAGTGAAGTATGAGCCACATTGGACCAAGGGGAGAGGAGATATGCTCTGAACAAGGATTTTTCATATAATTCTGCTGTGACCTTAACCTTAGACCTAGAAACATGTTTCAAGGTCACTGCACACCCTTTAACCAAAGGCACTCTGTGGGTGAGGTATGAGCCAGATTGGGCCAAGGAGAGAGAAAATATGCTCCAGACAAGAATTTAAACAGAGAGGCTATTTTTCACCTTGACCCTTGACCTAGAAACTTTGTTCAAGGTCACTGCACATTCATTGACCAGTGGCACTCTGTGAGTGAAGTATGAGCCACACTGGACCAAGAGGAGAGAAGATATTCTCCGGACAAGGATTTTTCATATAATTCTGCTATGACCTTAACCTTTGACCTAGAAACATGTTTCAAGGTCACTGCACACCCTTTACCCATAGACCTTCTGTGGGTGAAGTATGAGCCAGATTGGGCCAAGGAGAGAGGAGATATGCTCCGGACAAGAGATATTGGACGGACAGACGGACGGACGGACGGACAGACTGATCACTATAGAGCGGGGCCCTTATAATTATAATATCATGCACAAGCATATTATTCAGAGAGGACTGCTTCACATTGATATTTACTCCACTGAGTCGATAACATTTTTATGCTTTGTTTAGAGTTTAAGGATTTTAGGAGTGGTTACATCTGAAAATTGACAGATTTTTTCAAGACAGATAAAAAAGTTTTTACATTTTATTAGTAAAATACTGTAATTTATCCCTTGAATAAAAGTGATATTTACACAAGTGATATTTTTTCAGTAAAAATATCAAAGATATATATTTTCAACTGTAAAAAATATAAGAATCATGGCTAAAACTGCCTAGAATTCCTCAGGTTGTTGGTAAAATTCATGTTTACAATTTTCAATCTCTCAATCCTTTTTGCTCTGACCTAGCTATGTCTCACAACCACTCAGTTACGATGTCATAGCCTGCAACACTCTGTTATAAAAACAGACAAGAGCAAAAAATGTAATAGAAAAAATATTCAAAATTCTCAAGACAGGATTTTTAAACTAATTTTGTTAGTCCTTTAGATTCATAACAAAAACCATGTCCCACTCAAGAAATAATTACATAAATGGAAAAGGACTGAATATTTCTGTATATTGATCTGTGCCTTACCATACATTGTGGACAGTTTCCTACAAGAAAAATCTCTTGTACACATGTGGATCCTTCCAAAATAACGATTCTGTATGCAGCTAACTGGCCCTTCACATTTTCAGGTATTTCAAAACTAATTTTGAAAACTCTGCTCCCAATTTCATAGATACTTAAATAAGTTGGAGGGCTAGATACTGAAATTGAAAGTAAATAAGAATGGCAATATTTCAAGGAAAACTATCTTGTTCCAAAATTTCTTGAAAAAATTCTTAAAAATCTCTGATTTTTTTTCAAATCAAATTTTGACTTATTTAATTAAGTTTTATTGATTTGCAGTTCGCATCAGTAGAGTATGGAATTATAACAAAATGATATAATAATACATAAATCTTCTATTTGATATGATCATTTTAGACTTCTATATAAATATAAACGATTATATCATTTGTTAGCAAAGGAATTAATGTTGCAGCTATTGCAGAAAAAAAAACTACCTGGTATGCGGGATATGTACATTTTCTGCAACAGCTGCAACATCAATGTTTCAATTTCCAAACAAACAACCAAATACTTTAAATCATTTCATTATTTAAAATTCTATGGTGATAAACACACAACCAACTCTTTATTTTTTCTTTTCCATTCAAAGAGTTTGACACTTAAGACACAACATGAATTAAAGTAACAGAGTCGAATTCTATACTGTTAGACATACGACAAAAGGTCTATAGGCCACAACGCACACCTAAGCTAAGTAACTATGGTCCCTCTTGGTCTAAATTAGCTGATTCTTCTTTCTATATATTCCAGTGTAAAACTTGATCACCCATTGTAGCACAACCCTACCCTTGGGGATCATAACTTGAACAAACTTGAATCTGAACAATCTTATGATGTTTTTTTTATAAATCTGACTTATCATGACTTTACTGTTCCTTTTTATTCCTATGTAAACTTTGATCACCCACTTATGGTGTCACCTTATACCTTCAGGTCATGGTGTGAACAAATTTGAATCTACACTACCTAAGAATGCTTCCATATAAATAACACTGATCATGGCTTTGCTCTTCTTGACGAGAAGATAATTTTCAAGATTTTTTCCATATACCCATGAAAAATGCTGATTGCCCATTGAAGCCCAATCATTTCTCTTGGGGCCAAGATAGAAACAAACTTGAATCTACACTATCTGAGGATACTTCAATATAAATATGATTAATCATTGCCTTCCTATTTTTTTATTTTTTAAGGATTTTTTATTTTTAAAGATTTTACATACTTATACTCAAGTTAAACTTTGGTTGACTATAGAAACTAAACCCTACCCACAGGCGTCATAATTTTAACAAACTTGAATCTACACTACCTATGGATGATTCCATATAAATATAACTGATCTTGGCTTTGATGTTCGTGAGAAGATTCTTCCTATGTATACCGATGTTAATCTTTGATAACCAATAGTGTCCCAACCCTATCCTTTGGAGTAATGAAGCAGTTCTTTTATTGTGTATCTTTAGAAGTTGCATCAGAGCAAGTTTGGTCAACATAGGGTTTATAGTTATTTAAGAATGAACCTGCTCCCAAAAATTTAACATGGTTACTCAACTGGAAAATGGAGGTTAGTTCCAGCACCAGTAGCAAGTCTGTTAGTGTGCATCATTTGATGTTAATCTATGCAAGTAAGGTAATCATAGGGCTTATAATTACCTTAAAATAAATCTTAACTTGGTTAGTTATTTAGAAATGTAGAAAAGATCCAGCATCTAATCTGTAGGCAAGCATCCCTAGATGTATAATCTCTACAAGTATGGTTAATATATGCTTATACTTGCTTAAAAATGAAACCTGTATGAAAAAAATGTATCCTTCTCTGAAGGCTTTTACATGCATCAATAACATTAATTGGTCATTTTTAGCAAAGCTGTATATATGAAGCTGTGGTCTGGAAAAAATGGGATGTTACGAGCATGAAGCTACAGTGCTTCTCGTGAAAAAAGTGTATTTTTTGCGCACAAAAATGTACTGTTTCTCAACTTTTCTCCATAATAATAAGCTGCCATCTGAAAATATTACTAATCATAACCATTTGTTCCTAACACATTCTTTTACTACTTCAACAACAAAACTGTTTGTGTAATTCATGTAAGAAGCATGTTGGGCCAAAATGACAGTATAACTATTAACAACAGTTTTGGTGAATGTATTTTTAGAAGTAGTAAAAGAATATGTTATGAACACTCGGTTTAATTTTCTGGATTAGAAAAGCTGAAATTATTCCGTTTGTCATACAATTCAGTTATTAGTAGGCCATAATCGTCTTTAGTCAGTAAAATATTCAAATAAAAAAACAGATGTGACAGACTCTGTGGTATCTTTTATTTTGAGTGCACTGGGATATATCGATTCGACATATAAGTGAAGATAATTGTTGACCATTAATGAAATGTGATTGTTTTATCTATATGATGAGTAAAGATCACAGCAAAGAGTTTTCTTCTCATGAAATAGTGTTGAATGAATTCTGCTTTAAATACGTAAAATATGAAGAAACGAACAATATTCAAGTTCAAAGTCCATTCAAACAAGACAAATCGGGAGCAGAGCATACAGAGACTTCCAAAACTTCAGAGGTGGGACAAGGTGCGCATCCCCTGCCGACTGGTCACACCCGCCGTGGTCTTCTTGTCATATTTGGGAAAAAAGGAAATAACCGTCGACAACCCAGTGTGTAAATAATGGCCTAACAATTAGTATGACAAACGCCTGCCAGCATTTGACTCATTGATAGTTTGCATTTGCTGACAAGGTCATGATATCGACCAAAAAACTTGGGAAATGATGACTTCAAACAATACTCTTGATATCCTTGTTACATCAACGTCTTTGTCAATAGCTTGCTCCGTTTTAGACATTGTTCATACGTAGAGCATGCTCATGCGTATCGAATCCAATGGGAGACATAAACCCCAAATGCAGGTGATAAAGGTATATTTGCTACATAAGTAAGGGAAGTTGACGATGGAAAAGCTGAAGTCATCACGTTTTCTTAGAACTTTGTTGTTAGGTTACCATTAACTTCTTTTTCTAGAAAAATATCCAAATATGACACAAATGTGTCAGACTCTGTTGTTTCTCTTATTTCAAGCTTACTGGGAAATATCAAGTCGACATATGAATGGAAGTAGCTATTGTAGAGTATTTTGAGTATAAAAATAGATCGGCTAATAAAGGAGCACAATTACTAACCAACAAATCTAAACAGGTTGTCTAAAGAGTGGTTTCCAAAAACTATACAGATATTGTCAATGTGATATCAAAAGATTTTTTATATAACTTCAGAGTGGTTAAATTAGAATGATTTTTAAGAAAGTAATTTAATTTGTAGATGAGCCATTGTACACTGTATTTTTTTTGTGTGTTGTAATTATTTTTACCACAGTTACCAAAGATTCTGACACATCTGTTTCATGTTTAGATATTTTACTAGAAAAAGACGTTTATGGTAACCTACATTTAAACAACAAAGTGTATGTCTCTCAGTTGATTCGATACGCTAGAGCATGCTCTAAGTATGAACAATTTCTAAAAATGAGACATGCTATTGACAAACAAGTTGACGAAACAAGGATATCAACAGTCTCTTTTGAAGTCATCTTTTCGTAAGTTTTTCGGTCGATACAATGACCTTGTCTGCACATACAACCTATCATTGAGTCAAATTCTGACTTACGTGTTTCATACAAACTGTTAGACCATTATTTATACACTGAACTGTTTACGGATTTTTTCCGGTTTTTGTTTCCCGATCATGACAAGGAGCACCCGGCGGGTGTGACCAGTCATCAGGGGATGCTCACTCCTCCATGGCACCTGATCCCATCTCTAAATTTTGAAGTGTTTGCTCTGCTTCAAATTTTTATCGCTTCATTGGTCTTTTGAGATTGAATACTGTGCGTTATCTTCATATTTCATTTAAATACCACCATGTTGCGTTAAACATCTGATAGCCTCACTGGGATCGCTAATTTTTTGTGTTTCCACTGCATCATTGATCGTCCGGACAGTGAAATTATACATCATCTCTGAAATATAGATATATTGTACATATTTAACATATATTATACACTTTTGATTTATGCAACTAATAAAAGTTTACCGCACTTGACATTTTTTTAATATCGAACAACCTAAGGACCAATTCTGAATTTAACCGGCTTCCTTACAAGATGTTAATTTAAAACATTAGTTACAACTCGGATTATCCCGCAATTCAAAGTAAGGAATTTACATAAAAAAAACAGTGAAATAATGATATATATTTATCTATAAAAGGACATTTTTAGGGATTTTTTTACCGTGAAAAAAATGAAAGTAATATTTTTTTCACACTGTGCAAAAGTATTGATGATTCTTTTCGATTCATGAATTTATAAAAAATAAGCCATGGTAAAGCACTAAATCACAAGAGTAAATAAATCAATATAGAGCGTCTGCTCTAGAGTCGCAGAGTAAGGAGTTGATCCTTATGTCGCGGGTTTGAATCCACTGTGGGACTTTGATATTGGTCTGTTAAGTTCTGTACTACTTGTTGAGAACATTATGACACATAACCAGCATATATATGCTATTCAGAGTCTCATGGTAGAAAATTAACATAAGACTAGTGCTCTTAGGTTGCTTATCATACGTATTATTACTACATGTAAATAGTGGTCGACCTCGTGATGCAGTGGTTAGAGCGTCTGCTCTAGAGTCGCAAAGTAAGGAGTTGATCCTTACGTCGCGGGTTTGAATCCACTGCGGGACGTAAAGACCAATCCTTCGGACTGCATAAACCAAGGTAGCATGTCGCAGTAGGTGTGGGTACGAAAAAGATCCCTCACTCATCAATGACCCTGAGTGCCGAGCATAGATTAATATTTGAATCCCTCCATTGGCAAGGGGTGGCCTCTCCATATAAGTAAAAATTTCTCGAGAGGTACATTAAACAACATGCAAACAAACTAACAACAAATAATAAATAGGGAAATTCGCAATTATTGAACTGCATTCTCTTCATTTTCTTTACTCTAGAGCATAACTCAATTATAAATACAGATGTGTCTCAGGTAAGGATGTGCACCTTCTGTTTTATACTTCTAATAGTGGAACCGTTCACGGTAGCTCAGTCGGTAGAGCGCCCGCTTCATGATCGGGAGGTCGTGAGTTCGAATCTCGGCCGCGAATGACTTAGGTCGATAAAAAATGAGTAGCAACTGTTCCTTCGCCAAGCGCTCGGCACTTTGGAGTGAAAGTTGCGGGTCCTTCGGATGAGACCTTAAAACCCGAGGCCCCCTGCCATGGCAGGCGTTGGCACGATTAAGATCCCTCACTGCTCAATGGCCCAGAGTGCCGAGTAAAGGTAAAAATTTGTAGCCCTTTACCGGTATATGGTGACGTCTCTATATGCGTGAAAAGTTCTCGAATAGGACGTAAAAACAACATACAATCAACATACAATCTAATAGTGGAAGAGAAAATTCTTTCTTTTATAAACACATTTATATGATGTTCGCAATTACTGAACTGCAGTCTATACATTTTCTCTACTCTAGAGCATAACTCATTTATAAATACAGATGTGCCTCAGATGAGGATGAGCACCTTCTGGTTAATACTTCTTATAGTGGAAGAGAAAATTCTTTCTTTTATAAACACATTTATATGATGTTAAAGATATATACACGCTATAACTTGCGTCAGTTAAAATAATGTTGAAAATTCATTTATTTTGTTTACCAATTAAAGTTACAAAAATACTGTAAATTACACAATTGAAAATGAACGCATTATAAAGATGTCAAATTATAATTATTTAATATCCTGCCGGGAAAGTAAAGCCTCTATTTAAATTAATGCATCACGTGACACTGTCGCTACTTTCAGGCTGATAAACAAAAATAGCGTCAAGAAAACGAGGTAGGCCGGTTGGTATATAAATAACTTTTGACGATGGCAAACGTCTAACACTTAAAGATACTTATCTTTTAAAGCAACCAGTAATAACTTTATATTCCTGTCTGTATACTGTTTACGCACTTCCTTAACCAATATTCATGAAAAAGGCAGAATTCTTAATTGCAGATCTTGCTTAATTGTTTTGTAATTACAACGACTTATTCAGTAAAACTTTGTGGAAAGTTTTAGTTCTTCATTACACATCATATTTCTCAAATCATTTAATCATTTTGCTTCACATAAAAAATTGGCGTTTATATAGCGTGTATATCTTAAACTTAATCTTTTCTAAATTTCATTGAAATCAAAATGAAACTAAGGAACACTATTTCTGCATTATTCTACTCTTAGTAATCATTCAGGTTCAAAATCAGATTTGAACGGAAGAGAAAAAATAAAGAAATAGACTAAATAATCACTATAAATAATCAATGAATACACACAATAAGCAATAATTTAAAGGATAAAAATACCTGGACTTAAACCCATGACATTGTAACTTGTAGCATTATTTGTTGTGTTAATGATGCGACCTCCAGGACTTCCAGGATTTATATGAATCTGGTACATCACAATTTGTCCATTAGGGTTGGTGGGAGGCTCCCAACTTATTTCTAAAGAGATATCCTTTGGCTGTTGTGGACAACTAACATCATTAGGTGGCTTTGGTCCTTAAAAAGGTGACATACATAATGCATATACTTTTTGCATATACTTTGTAATGCATATCATGGTTCCAGAATTCTAAGTTTACAAATGATGCTGTTTATTTTCAATACTGGCAGAATAATGTGATCAAGTCAAATGACCAGGATTCATGTACATTTCAAATTGTCAGGAATAAGAACATTTTCTCTGTAAAAGTTTAAGCATAGATATTGTTGTACTGACAGAAAAGCAGACAGGCAGACAATGTAATTGCTATGCATCACTTAACTTTACTGAAGTTATGATAGTTTTTCAGCATTTGAAATTTTTTTCTTATATCCTGTTCACAAGGAGAGTTTAATTCGCAGTAAATTAAAGAGAAGTAAAATAGTGTGAATATGCAATATTTTTTTCTACAGTACTGGATATTCAGTAGAGCTATTATGACGTCATTTGCAAATCACATCACATTATGCAGATCAGATCCATTTGACATAATATTACAGTGTTTGTACACATTTTAGTGAATAACATAATTTTCCTTTATTTTCACTCAAAAATAGCACAGATACCTATATCCGACCGATATGCAGCATGTTACCTAATTCTGTCGTAAAAGTTATGCATGCGTCAGAATTCAATTGGAATTAGCTTCGTTTAGCGTTCGTGAACTCGAAAGTAATACAAAATAATTTAATGCGCATAAAGTAATTCGAATTAAACTAATTAGTATCAAATTCTCTTTGTGAACGCGGTTCAAATTTATTTCGCAGTAACTTACGTTTACTTCGAATTAAACTTTCCGTGTGAATAGGGTATTTATTCTTACTTGTTGGGGTAATTCTAATTGTCTCAGAGTATGCCATGCTTCTCTTTTCACCAGTTGTTTCATTTGATGTACCACTGATTGTCACAATACTGACTACATAGTATTTCCCAGGGGTCAATAAAACGGAGCATTGCATTTTCATTTACAGTTAATTGGTTTGCTCTGTCAATCATCACTTCATATTTGGTAACAAAGGTATTGGATGGAGGAGTCCACTTTAAGGTGAGGTTGTCGTGAGCAAATGAACTTTCACTGTACGAAATAGAACCAGGCGGAAGTGGATCTGTAAAAAAAAACACAAGAAATAGTTAAAATGGTAACGAGTTATATATGGAGTATACGTATCATACTTACCTCATATTCATATCGATTTCGATTTCAATTCACATACAAGAAAAGGGTGAAAATAACAAACAGGGACCGATCTAAAAAAAAAAATTCCACAAACAATACAAATCTGTAAATAGGTTCAAACATGTTCCATCGGAAATTTCTCATGTTGGTTCAGGGTCCTAGAAGGAGTAAGCATCCCCTATTGACCTGTTACGTCTGCCGTGTGCCTAAGTATTGATGAGGTAGACGGAACATTTTATGTCGAGTTTAGTATTAAAGCAAAGGCCTAAAATTTATCTGAAGATAGTCAATCAAAAATACGGTCCATTGATAGGTTATATTTGCTAACCAGGTCATTATAACGACCATAAAATTTAGGATATTTAGACCTTGACTGGAAGTAACTGTTTTTATCGATAAAACGTCGTTTATATATCTTATTATCGAGTTGAAGGCCACAGCAAATGTTTCCTTCTTCTCATGGAGAAGTTTTTGAATAAACTATGTTCATAGAAATTAAAAAAAAATTAAAAAATAAAGGAGTACACTAAGTGTCCAAGAATTACAAAATGAATAGAATACTTAACATATCAATAATAATCTGTGCATGTAAAACATTGACCCCCATTGTGGCCCCACCCTACCCACTGGGGTCATGATTTGAACAAACTTGAATTTACACTACCTGAGGATCCTACCATATAAATATGACTAATCATTGCACTACTGTTTTTGAGAAGAAGATTTTTTCCTATATATTCCTATGAAAAATTTTGATCCTCCATTGTGGCCCCACCCTATCCACGTGGGTCATGATTTGAACAAACTTGAATCTACACTATGACCCCCATTGTGGCTTCATGCAACCCAAGGGGTCATGATTTGAACAAACTTGAAATCTATACTATGTCAGGAATATTTGATATATTTCATCTATTGTGGTTCATTGGTTCTTGAGAAGAAGAACTTTAAACAACCCCACCCAATTGTCACTATTTCTTTATTATATCCCCTTAGAAGAGGGTGTGACCCTTCAAATGAGAGTTGAATTCCCTCTACCAAAGGATACTCTGTGCTAAGTTTGGTTGAAATTGTCCCGGTGATTAATGAGATGAAAATGTGAAAAAATTACAATAACGACAACATCGACGACGACAACAACGACGACAAACAACGAACAAATTTCGTTCAGAAAATCTCACCTGAGCCAAAGGCTAAAGTGACCTAAACATGACAAAATATTTTAAAAAATCATATTGCTACTTTTTTCTGGGATTAATAGTGTCTATACGGCAACACTCTCATGCTATAGGAAATGTGCTTCGCTTACAAGCACAGCAATGAAAAGGCCAAATAATAACGAATAATTAAAAATTGTCATAGTTCGAAGGGCCATATTTTTTGTAAAACTGGATAAATCAATACAAAACTCGAGGTGAACCTCTACTGTACGACAATTTAAAGCAACAAACCAAAAATCATTATTGAGAAGAACAGAAAGGAATGAAAAAAAGCAATGGACTTGAAGATTCAGATCCTGCTAAAAATTAATTGCTATAAAGAAGATGGGTGAACATGGCTTGCGAAATGCCTATAGTGCGACAAACATGAAGATTGTAATTATTTGCCTATGACATAGATACACCCACCCAATATTTCCAACCAAACATTAAAAAAAATCCTTAGTTTACAGATGTAAATCTCTAAGTGCTTCTGCTTTTTGGAGGAATTTCCCTATATTACTTAGTTCACTCACATTTTCAGTTGATAATAATTGTAAAAGTTTATACATACTAGGTCTATACCAATAATACTTTTTAATATACAATTTCCTGTACTCATGATAAAGTGAGCATTTTAATATAAAATGGTACTCATCTTCAACCTCCATTTGACAACAAAAACATAATCTATTCTCCCTAGGAATATTAGTAAATCTTCCCTTCTCAATCATTAATAAATGTGCACTTAGTCTATATTTTGTAATCAATTGAATATACTTGGTTGGGATAGGTTTCATTAAGTAAGATTGCATGCACAGCTTATTTGTTAAATATCTATACACAGAACACTTTGATGACGAAGAAAAAAAAGCCTCTCATTTATATTGGAAACAGTAAGTTAATCTTTGTTTAAAAATTTTTAAAAATATATTTTTGTTTGTAATATTTTGACAATACCAAACTTCTCCAAACCCTAATGAAAATAATAAATATTTTACATTAAGTAACCAATTATATTTTGTACAAGAATTTGTCTCAATTCTTTCAAGCATATCTTGGTAAATACTTTTCAATATACAATTTTCTGACTCCAATAATTTTAACCAAAACTTTATTATACGAATTTTCCTTTGAATAAAAAGAGGTAAACGACCAAGTTCATTATAGATCATCAATGACGAGGTATTTTTTCTCACTTTCAACATAATTTTGAGATATTCTAAATGTATTTTCTCTATAGCATCACCTTTGTGGAATCCCAATATTTCACTTGCATAATTCAATATACTACTTACATAAGTATCAAACAGAGATAAACAAGTAACAAAGTTAAAATGCACAATTTTCATAGACTTCAAAAGTTTAAACATACATTTCCTCCCTTGAGTAGCCAATTTTACCTGATATTTATGAAAATTACCTGTGTATGTCAGAGTGAGACCAAGATAAGTAAACTCATTGACAGCTTCAACTTCCTCATCATTATAATACCATTTAAAACTTTGATTCAATCGACCAGATTTCCTAAATACTACTATTTTAGTTTTACTTACATTTACAGATAATTTCCAATCATTACAATATGAGTAAAGCACATCAAGCATTTTTTGTAATCCTTCAGGAGAATTGGAAAATAATACCATGTCATCTGCATATAACATTAAAAACAATGACACCTTGGAGATTAATATCTTGACAATTAGACATGATAAAAGCATTCTCAAAATCATTTAAATATAAAGAAAAAAGTAGAGGAGACAGTGCTTCTCCCTGAAGGACTCCTTGTTCTACTTTTAAAAAGTCACTAAAATTGTTTTTATATTTCACACAACTCCTAACATTCTTATACAGAGACCATATACTGTTAAACATTTTCCCCTTGATCCCTAATGTTATGAGCTTTTTGAAAAGATAATTTCTATTAATACTATCAAATGCCTTACGGAAGTCCACAAAACAACAGTAGAGTTTTTTCCCATTCGAAAGACGTTTATCAATTATACTTTGCAGTGCAAAAATTGCGTCTATAGTACCAACTCCTGGTCTGAATCCAAACTGTGCATCAGTTAAAATAGAGTTACTTTCGGACCATTTCATCAGTCTATTATTAAGTATAGTTGTAAATATTTTTAACATACAACTCATAAGGGTAATGCCCCTATAGTTATCTGTTACATCGGGGTCTGCCTTTTTAAGGATAGGTACTATTTCACCTTCACACCATGTGAGAGGAATATTACCTGTATCAAAAATAACATTAAATATTCTTGTTAAAAGCGGGCTTAGGTCTTCACACATGTATTTAAAATACTCATTTATCAAATTATCTTTTCCTGGCGATTTTCTGCTTTTTAAACAGTTTATAACATCTACAACCTCTTCAACAGTTATATTAACATCTAGTTCATCAAATACAGCATTCATATCATATTCTGTATTCAAAAAGTCAGTATATGTAACATCTTTACAGACTCCTAGGTTTCTGAAATGTTCAAAAAATTCTTCTACACTAAGATTACAATTGTTTTCTGGTCTACGATTCTTAAAGAAATTAAAAAATTCCCTAGGCGAAGTGCGCCTCAGATATTCTAACTGGCTACCTTGACATCGCCTAAACTCACATTTTGCCCTGTGCATACATTTTTATGTTCCCCAAACGAAGTTTGGGAACATATTGTTTTTACTCGGTTTCTTATTAGGGTCTTCCGTCTTCAGCGGAAGACCCTTCTATTATTCTTATGTTTCTTTTTCAATTTTCTTATTATTATTCTTTTTTTCTGCACAAATTTTGTGCAGACGATTTCTCAGAGATGGGTTGATGGATTTGCATCAAATTTTCAGGGTTGGTGCTAAGTTATCTGAAGTTAATTCCGGCTAAATATTTTTTTGACAATCACTTCCGGTCGAAAGTTATCGCCCTTTTAACAAAATTCAGAGGACCTCCTTGTCTGTGATGGAACTCAAAAACGGCTTAAGCTAGAGCGCTGAAATTTTCAGTGGTGATAGAGGACATGTTGCCATTATGCACCTGTGTTTAGATATTTTCCGGAAGTGTCTAGTATGGAAGCTCGGTAGGGGTCAAAATTTAGGACACGAATCATGAGTGAATTTTTGAGACATTTTGTATCATATCAATAAAAGTATTAATATTTTGTTAAAACATACTGAACAATATTTGTGCAGAATGACAAGATCTTTAACAGGATATCAAGAAAAGGGGGCTGATTCATTAAATTAGGGGCCGAGGGGGTCTAAAAGTAATAAATAAATAACTCTTTAACAATCAATATTTTGGACTACATTACTGAAGCAAAAATGTTTATCTTAACAATTTACAACTATATATTATAATATTTATGTCATATGTTACATAATAAGGGGCCATAAGGGGCCAGAATGCCAAATCTTTGGCATTCCATATCTCAAAAGTGGGAAATATTTTGATAAGCAATATTGAACAAAAGATGTCCAAAATAAGGTTCTAAACAAGATGCAACCTTTCATTTTTTGCTAAACGTCCCCATTAAGGAGTTGAAGGGCCGGCCCCTAAATACTCCA